CGGGGTGAGTTTTGAGCGAGTCCGGGCATTTCCGGAACTCAAGTATGGTTCTGGTGCTTTAAATTTCGCGGACCTCAGCAGAATTTCGCAGCTGCGCTTGGAATTTCGTGGACCGCATAATTCTGCCGCGGCCGCACTCCGGGGAAAGTTCTGCAGATCTGCTGGTCCGACTTCGGAAGCCTATATCTTTTGATCTACATGGAATTTTGAGATGCTTCAAAAATGAAAGTTGTAGCCTTCGTGTCTAGTTTCTAGAAAGGTAACGATGTCATCATTTGGACATTTGTAGAGAAAGTTATGGCCAAAATACTAAAGCCTAGTAGTGCAGCCACCAAAAAGTGCAGCCACACCAGTTTTTTGCGACCGCAGGACCTGAGAGGCGCGACCGCGCTCAAAATTTTGCAGACCGCGAAGTGGGGATCAGAGGTGCACTATATAAACGGGATTTAGGGTATTATTTCACATTTTGGACCTAGGGAGCTCGATTTGTGGCGATTTTTCGTGAGTATTTCAAGAAATCCATCGGGGTAAGTGATTCTAACTCGAATTTGGTTAATATACATGAATATATCAATGATTTCATCATCTGATTAGTACTTTGAGGTGAAAATTTGGGAAAAATTGTAGAAACTTCATAAAATGAATTTTTGGGATTTGAATGTCAATTCGAAGTCAGATTTGAGTGAAACTAGTATGGTTAATCTCGTGAGTGAATGGGTGTTCGTAATTTGTGACTTTTACCCGATTCCGAGTCGTGGGCCCGGCGGCCGGGTTTGAGCCAATTTCGGGTTTTTGGTCTGAATTGGTAGTTTTTCATGTGAAATTTATTCCATTACCGTATATTGATGGTATTGTACTGATTGTGAATAGATTCGGAGTATTTGGAGGCCGAGTCGAGAGGCAAGAGCATCACGGGGTAGAGATTTGACCGGTTTGAGGTAGGTAACGATTGTAAATCTAGTCCTGAGGGTATGAATCCCCGGATTTCATATCATTTTACTATTTTGAGGTGACACACATGCTAGGTGACGGGAGTGTGGGCGTGAACCGTTGGGGATTGTGACTTGGTCCATCCCGTAGCAACTGTAAAGTTGTATATTTTATTGAAACTATATGATACTTATGTGTTTTAGAAAGAGTTTCTGTAAATTGGGTTGAATGCCATGCTTGTGCCAGTGCTGTTTGGACCTTTAGGGGCCTTTTCTTACTATTCTCTCACTGTTTTCGATTGAAAATATATATTCAATCATGGTTATACTTGTTTACTATATAACTCAGTTTTCGTTACTCTATTTTGATGCATATAAAAGTTGTTTTGGGCTGAATACCCTGTTTTACAGAGAGCCCGAGTGGCTTGAGAGGTTTATGACTAAGTGAGGCCGAGGGCCTGATTTGTGAGGGTATTTATGGGATCGGGCTGCACACCACAGCAGTGCTTGGATCGGGCTGCACGCCGCAATAATATATGGATCGGACTGCATACCGCAGCAGTATTGGGTCGGGCTGCACGTCACAGCAATATAGCGCTTGGGCTGTAGGAGCCCCTCCGGAGTCTGTACACACCCCCAGTGAGCGCAGGTACCTACTGAGTGCGAGTGTTGAGTGACTGGGAGGCATGAATGATAGTGAGGTATTCCCGAGGGGCTGTTTACGAGTGATTGTGAGGTATGCCCGGGGGACTGTATACGAGTGACTGTGAGGTTGCCCGATCGGCTGTATATGAGTGATGTTTTGCCCGAGGGGTTGTTTATAATTTTATCATTTTTGCTTACCTTGCATTGAGCCTTTGTTTGAAAACTGTTGAAAAATATCTTTAAATAATTTTACTGGAACTAGGTTTAAACGAGATGTTTTGATTCAAACCCTGATTTTTAAAGCATGTGGTATTTTACTGAGATTTCATGATATGAACTTTATATGCTTATTGCTCGTCACTACTACTCAGTCTTTATTTACTGTTGTTACTTACTGAGTTGACGTATTCATGTTACTCCCTGCACCTTGTGTGCAGATTCAAGCGTATTTGGACACGGTAGAGGTTGTTGACTATTCCGGTTGTAGATTTTCCCGGGGATAGCAAGGTAGCTGCCTGGCGATCACAGCCCTGCTCTTCTCCCTTTTATCTTCCTTTAGTTGTATTTAGCTATTTTCCAGGCTGAGTTAGTCTTGATATTGTTAGACAGATTGTAGTAGATGCTCATGACTAGTGACACCCCAATGTCGAGCTTTTCTTTTCCGCACTTTTATTTTGATTTGAACTCCTTTATGAAGGTTTTTACGCTAAATAACCTTGAAATAAAAATATCGGTTTGTTTTGGAATGAGTCGGCTTGCCTAGTTTCACGATATATGCCATCACGACAGGTTAGGTTTTTGGGTCGTGATACTAGGCTGGATAAGACTAGGATTGAAGATATTCGGGAGAGGGTGGGTGTGGCTCCAGTGGACGACAAGATGCGAGAAGCGCGACTTAGATGATTCGGACACGTGCAGTGGAGAAGCCTAGATGCCCCGGTTAGGAGGTGTGAGCGGTTGTCTTTGACAGGTACGAGAAGAGGTAGAGGGCGGCCCAAGAAGTATTGGGGCGAGGTGATCAGACAGGACATGGCGCGGCTCCAGATTTTCGAGGACATGGCTCTTGATAGGAAGGTGTGGAGATCGAGCATTAGAGTTGTAGGTTAAAGGGTAGTCGAGCGACTTTTCTCTTTGTCCCGGTTTCCCTCTTTATACCGACGAGTATGATAGTGTTTTGTCTAGCACTGCAAGCGATTTATGTTATGTTTCACACTTTTGCATAATATTTGTGTTACTGTTTTTCCATTTTTGTTGTCTCTCACGTTGTTGATTATTTTTTAGGTTTTGTTGTCACAGATCTATTGTCTCTGAGCCTCCCGGAAATAACTTCTCTACCCCCTCTGAGGTAGGGGTAAGGTCTGCATACACTCTACCCACCCTAGACCTCACTGGTGAGATTTTACTGGATTGTTGTTGTTATACTTCATTTTTTAATAAAATCTATAAGGCTAAAGGAGTATCACAATGTCTTAATAATGCACAGACTGTCTATATTTCATTCATCCGGAGGGCTTTTCCGACTTTAACATGTGTATATAAACTAGATAGATTTAGCCCGTGCAAAGCATGGGCCCGACATTTCACATTTTCGGGCATCTGACGATTTCTTTTTTTCTTTTCAATCCTTGAATTGGTTTCAGTCTGGACCAATACATATCATTCAGAATATTGATGATTTTGCATATGCATATTCTAATATGATTGGTCATTGCTTAATTTCAAGCAACATAAAACCGTAACCAAGAGATAACAACTAAGCATGATCCTTAAAACTTGGACTGTACAATGACTTCAAATGTTGCAAATATTCTTTGTTTACAAGGTGATGTAAACTCAAACTCTCAAACGTGAAGACACAAAAACTTAAAAAGTCCAATACATGCCATGTAAATCAAACGTCTCAAACATTGATATGCAAAAACCGAAGAAGTCTGATGTTTAGGGAAGACGCAGAACGAAGCAAATTATTTATCAATCATAGAAACAACCATTCAAGCTACATCACATATACTTGAACTTAGGAAATCAATCTGAATTAAAGTGAACGATGACAAATCATATTTAGTTCTGGATTAAAAAAAAAAGGAACCCACATACTGACAATGACAACTCAAAGTGCACTTAACATTTTCACAATGTTTGAAAAATTGCCAAGTGTGGGAGGAATTCGTCCTTCGAAACGGTTATCGTTCAAGTCAAAATACTTTCCTTAAAAGCCAATCTCCTTTAGTATGTTGTACCGATCACAGTATATTCATACAAAGTCTTGCATATCAACAACGCATTAACATAAAAATCTTGAAAATTTTCAACACAAAGAAGCAAAATCCTTTAAGCCTTCATCAGAAAGTAACTTACAATTCCTGCAAAAAGATTAGGTGCACGTATTGAAAGAAATTCCTTCTGAGAATGTGTAAATGCAAATTAGAGGCACATTTGTGCTACTGACCTGTTCCAAAATATATCAAATAAATTGGATTCCCCTGAAAAAGGTTAATAACCAAATAAATAAACAGAAGATACAAAATTACATAAGTGGAAGGCACGTCTTCAAGTTTTTATGACAGATCTTGCAACATAGAGCAAAGTTTCCAAGTCCATCGGATCTAAGACATTCTAATTGGTAAGTCAATAAAGTGGTGAATTCTTATTTGAGCTTCAAGAATCTAATCATTAAGTCAACAATTTATCAAAAGAATCAATATGTCCAGTCTCCATGTACATATATCCAGATACTACATTAGCCAATAACATAATCAAAGAGACTCATGACTGCTAGAATCCTATTTTGACGACATACAACCAAGAAAAGTTATACTTTATTGGCTGCAAGGATCACTTATTCAGTATTTAACACATATCAAGTAATGTAACCTTTTCATTGTGAAAGTACTCATGAATAAGATAACTATACTTTAGGTCAGCATCATAGAGCAAAAATTGCATTTTCATGTCCATGTTTATCATTTCTTGCAATTAGTGTTTCGTCTATGACTGTTTCAAGAGTGTCTCTCAAGGTGGGACTTGTTTGAACCATTTAGGAAGCATCTCTATCTCCACAAATCTCAAATTCTCAAACATGTTGAATGTGAAGATCAAAATGCAAGTAAATGCAATCATGTAGAAAAAGTCGCTCTCAAATGATAATATTAGGAAAACTCGACAAAGAAAAAATTAAGTCGTAATATTTTCCAGATCTTCCAGTAGAGAAAACATATACACATAATAAACAAAAAAGATAAATTAAAATCACATAACATTTTATAAGTACGGAGAAGATAAACAGATAAATTTCCTCAATTAGTAAAATTAGACATCTCTTTGGATCTAGTATTTTTGGCGAATCTTGCTTTTAACATGAAGTTTTACCCTTCGTGTTTCCTTCTGGCTCCCACGACACTTAACGCAATATTTTTAAAAAGAAACTTAAAAAAGGGAAGTCGTTAGTATCTTGAAAGAAGAAATACAAAAATGAAAGTTTCAATTGAAAATACCTTAACAACTTTGGATGGTTAAGGACCAAAAGCTGAAGGAACATCATTTTTTGGTTAGACACATCTACGGAAAGCTAAGATGATCTCCCTGGAACCATTAATAACTGGTGAGACTAATCTAGTATTCGCCTACTAAATACAGGAAATAATAATCCTTAATCAGTAGGTCAATGCAAGTCTGCAAATTGAAAATTCTTTTTTTTCTTGTCAGAAGTATCAGGTTTCAGTCTTCTCTCTCCTAATATCAATCTCATTGCTCGGCCCACGGGGCTTTGTTTCAAAGGTAAAGCAAGTAAAGCACAACATCAATTCGATGTGCGATAGATGTGCGATAAAAGCACAACATCAATTCGAACCATGTCGCTGATTAATGCCTAGTATATAAATGGGAGAAAGGTCGAGGGACGGACCCATACTCCACCGAGTTTTGTTCCAAGATCGTTTGCACCGGCTTTGGATTCAAGAAGATTCGCCACGTTTTGATGAACCAAAACCTGAACCCTTGCACAACCGGAGAAGTATATTTGTTACAGGAATCCAAGATCTATTGTCAAAAGCAGACAGTAGCTCTTTAGGCATTCTCTGCATTGCGGCTTCATTGCATTCAAAAGTAGCCAAGAACTCCTTGTACTGCACTAAGACAGAAATAGACTGCAGAAGAAGATCTCGCATCTCCGCACTGGATATCCTTGGATCATTGAAGTGGGTGACAGCGAAAGTAACCTGAAGAAAGAAGAATTAATAGCAAATACACGTAAAAGAAACGAAGCTAAATAATCTCGCACATAACAGGAAACAAGTACCAAAGGAATCTAGCATTAATCATGTGGATCATTCCGGAACCAACCAAGCTATAGTAAGAAAATCTTTTTGTGCTAATATTTTTTCTTATAAATACTTCTCTTTTGTTAAGTTAGCTTTAGAGGGTGTTGATGTGTTCTATTTCAGCATATTAAAATAAGCAACTATGCAAATACCACTGCCATTATACACTTAGTCCTAAAAGTACCATAGAAAAAAAAAAGCATGTGACTAGAGTGAGACAGAGACGAACTAGAGACGGAGAATTGAGACATACAAACGATGTAAGTCCTTGCTTGAGAAAAATTGTAGCAGGGACGAAAGGAGGGTCACTTTTACGAAGTACATGGAAGCAGTCCACCTGTCATTGAGACAAAAGAAAGGAAGATCACTTTCAAAAGTTGTGGCAACTAACAAACCGACTAAATAAATGACATGAAAATAGCTGGCAAAAAATTTGCTAATGATGAGCACTTGAAAGCATAAAGCATTTTCAATATTTCTATGCCCATAATACAGCTACATATAGACAACAGTGTAAACCTTTTTTTTCCAAGCCCTTCCTTTCTCTTTGCAGGTCGGTACACAAATGGACATGAAATAGAAAGGAACGGAAAAAACAGAATGTGCAAATACCACAATGTACATTATGTAAGATAAGTCAGGTTGGTTCGATCCATTCAAACCCATTCCCCTAAAACTATACAAACACAGCGGCCTAGTAATGAAAGGTGCAGAGACAGAAAGGCAGATGGAAGCAAGGATGGAAGCAAAACGGTAGGCAAGAAAAAGTTTTTGGTTCACTTGGCTATTAATAACTGCAGATACCCAAATTCCGCAGAGGATATGGCACTGTCTTTCACTAAAAGTTGTAGGTCCTTCTCGGCTTCGCTATCCACGCCGGAAGAAAGTCAAATGGCACTAGCAAAGAGGTAGAGAAAAATTCATGCTCAAAATGAGAAGTGCAGTAAAGCATATATACAAACGATGAGTCACTCTTTGATACAAGAAAATGGCCAATTATGGTGGAGTTCCAAAATAGTATGCAGAGTAGGAAATTTTATTACCAAGGTTTCCAAATAGTACTCAGGAGTATAGATGAAGACTGAGTCCTCTTTGCTAAGAGTTAAAAGTAACTGAACAATCCACATGCATACTGCATACATCCCTCTCTGCTTCCACCAAGAAAATAGAGAAACACGATACCTGTTAGATGATAGACAGCAAAAACTAAGCTATACCTCCTTGAAAGCAGACAGTAACTACTCATTAATATGGAAAATATACTGATCCATAATAGCCAAAACATTATTTGGAAATACAACAAAACATGCGATGATCATATTATCAAGCACAATGTTTGACACGATCCATTACTTCTTCTCAGTATATGCTACGAGCCTCCTTCAGGCGTTTTACATGTTCCCCACAAACTTTTTCACTGATCTGCTTATCAGTTGCTTCTAGAAGAGAGATTGACTGTGATTGCCGAGACATATACGATGAAGCCTACAATTGAAATAAGAGAATCATTCAAATATGATGTGAATCCATGAAACATGAAAGGAAGAAAGCAATGAATTCAAGTGCCGTAAGAATGGAATAAGAAAAGAAAGTACGATTGAACTGGCAGGACAAAAACATGTTAACCAAAAATGAGGTAAAATATCAGGACCATGTCCTCACACAAGAGAGAAGCAGATAGAACTAGTTCCGCACCTTCTATATCAATCAAGTATGCCTAAATCCCATATTTGCATGAACCCATCAAATGAATCCTCTATGTCCACTCCATTCAATTTATGTCCATTCTATTCGGTATCAGAGAATTCATCATAGTTAGACTAATTTTACACTGNCTTATTATTTTTAGGATAGCTTTCTAATATATAGTGACTTTAGGGACGAATGTTTTTATATATGTTGAATGATTATTAATATATTTAACTTATATTAAAAGAATTAAGTACTTTTAAATTTTATTTTCATATTTCACTTAAATAAAATGAAAAGATTTAATTATTGTCTGTAATAACAAATTTTTGAGATTATGTATTTACTTATAATATTAACTACGGAAAAGGGTCAGAACTGCCCCTGAAGTATTGGAATTGGTACAAAATTGTCCTTCATCCACCTATTTGAATAAACATGCCCCTACCGTTATTTTTTTGGCTCAACATTACCCTTATTACTAACAGAAAATTCATAAAAAAAGAAAAATTAAATAATATCCACATGTCACTGTCCCATTGGTCTAACATAAACCCCAAACCGTAACACGCCCAGATATTGACCCGCCCTAATTTTAAAACATAAAACTCTCTCTCTCTCTCTCTCTCTCTCTCTCTCTCTCTCTCTCTCTCTCTCTCCTCTCTTTNCTTCGCTATTTCATTTTAGTGAGCATTTACTTACGAGTGTATGTCTACTATTATTCATGAGGCAAACTCAAAATTGAGTTCTCTATTAGAATTAATTTTATGGAAGATGGAAGGAATTGTCATATTCTTCTTAATGCAAAAAGTTTAGATTCTTTTTGTTTATGCAATGGGCATTCTTTATTATATAATTTTCTTTATTTGAAATTTGTGGGGGGATTTCTTCACTACTTTTTGTCATTCCTCCGTGAAAATTTGAGGATTAGTTTTTCAATTTTTTTTTAAACTATTTATGTGATGTGTATTTCCATTTTTTATTTATTTCACTATTTATTCAATCAATATGTAAGTTTTTCTACTCCGTGTAACGGGTATTGTGCAATTGTCACATTTCATACACATTGGGTTCATATGATGTATTAATAATAGTTAACAATTTTTTTAGATAATTTCTTCAGTATTTATTTTCTTACTTTGATTATTATCATGGATTCAATTTTCTCGATTAGATTATTGTATTAAGTCTAGTAAAAAAAAGAGGATTTTCTACTCATAATTTGCAAATGAGATAGGCTACTGTGTACGTTGCTATTTCCGGCGGATCCGCCGGTGAATTCCGCCCAAGTAGCAACAAGGCGGATAGAGAGAGAGAGAGAGAGAGAGAGAGAGTTGTATTTTAAAATCGGACCTGGTCAATATTCTGACGGGTTAAGGGTGAGTTTAGTTATATTTTAGTTGAAGTTTAGTTAGGCCAATGGAACGGTGACACGTGGATATTAATTAAATATATATTTTTCCCATAAATTTCTGTTAGTAATAAGGGTAATGTTGAGCCAAAAAAATAACAGTAGGGGCATTTTTATTCAAATAGATAGACGGAGGGCATTTTTGTACCAATTTTGATACTTCAGGGGCAGTTTTGGTCCTTTTCCATATTAACTATTAAATAAATCTATTCATGTCCTTATTCGTAATTTGATACTTAAAAGCACTTTCTGAAAAGCTTGGCCAAACACAAATTATTGCTCAAAAGTATTTTTTAGAGTGATTAGCCAAACACAAACTGTTTCTCTCCAAAAGTACTTTTTTCAAAAGCACTTCTCAAAATAAGCCAGCTTGGCCAAACAGGCTATAAATCATGAAATACATTCTCATGAAGAGAGACAGCACGTATCAAATGAACAAAGAAGCCAGACTACACAAATACCCACGAGACCCTCTGCCCTAAAATTGATTAACTTGCTCTGCTAAATAGAGTGCTCACAAAAAGCTGAGATGCAATTGACATCCTTATGAAATTGTGAAGGCTGATAGGCGTGTGTGCTCTTCTACAGAATAGTGAAACAATTTTCAGCCAAGATGCTTGGCTGCAAAATTGGAGAAAAGCAAGAACAGAAGGGGAAAAAGGTCTTTCCTCTAAATTCCAGTAGTCACGAGGAGGAGGTACTAGCAATAATAGGGACGATTGAGCTATGAGCATCTGAAGGTGGCCTGGGAGCAAAGTGCTGTTAGAAAGAAGGAGAAGAGCTGGAATATCATTTTTTAGCACATAGCTGCAAACAGATGGATCTCTTCCTTTTCCTCCAATTCTTTAATATAACGCCAGGTTCCAGACATTATAAATCGTGTAAATCGAGACAAAACTTAAATTTCATGTTGATCCTTGCACCTTAGGGCTAAGGGCATTCATTTCCTTGCAAGTTCATGCTTTAATTAACATAAAATGATTTTTGACGCGCTCGGTGAACTAAAACACAAATTTTGGACTAAGGAAACAATTCAGTCATTAGTGACGCAGGGGGAGACGAGGACAAATGGGTTAGTATGATCCACTACAACTTCCACCAGCATAATAAATTTGCTTAGCCTCTCATAAATGAGGAAAAAGCACATACAGGTTTTACTCTGATTGCAGAAATTCTTCACAAATAATACGACTATCAGATACCAGGGCAGTAGAATACCCTCATTACCAGAAACTGAATCATGGAGAACTAGAGAACTGCAAGAGATCCCAGGTAAAAAAAGACAAACAGTAACTCAGAGTCGAGGCATAAGAACTTCTCGTACCTTGTCTTGACCACCAACATCCCACACTGTAAAGCTGATGTTCTAACTACCTGAGATTCTGGAAAAGAATTTGTAACTTTGAAATATTAATGACTTGTACAGGACAAGATATGAGTAGATATAATGGAAGAGACCTGCAATTTGAAGATTTTGGTAGCAGCAGATTCTGGCTAGTTTTAAAATTTTAGAAGTAGAGCATGTACATATGCTTGTGTGAGAGAGCTCAAGAAAGTGTCTCCGTCATCATTAGCTAAAGCTTGGAATACTAAGGACTCTGAAATCATAAAATCAACTCATATTGCAGCATTTTATCGTAAATACTAGGTAAAATTTTATTTTAAAGAAACATGATGCTTCTCCTACTTTCTATTGAATTTTTATGCTGCACAAAAGGGATGCTTATCTCGCTTAAAATGTAAAATAGGAAAATTCATGACACCTGTCCTGAGTAGGGTGATCCTTCTTCATTGGCTCTACTTCCCAGGTGGTACAAGTGGAAGAACCTGCAAACAAGCACAGAAACATGAATGTCTTGTCACCTTTCACTTTCCAGTTATTTATGAGAAAGTTAGAATCAGCTTGGCTCCATTGTTTGGTGACCTCCTATTTTAAGATTAGACTATTATATTCTTAAGTAAACATTCAAAAGTATACCAACTACATCATGCAAGATATAAATATACAACAACCAATGCCATCATGGAAGTTCCAGACCATATAACTTAAGACAACAAGTTTCTCCCAAACATTCATTACAAGGACAAGGAGCAAACAAGAGAGTACAAACTCCAGGCCAAGAGAAAAAGCTAAATAACCAAAAAAGGTACTTCTCGCCCCTTAATTAGTAAGTGAGCTGCTATTCACCTTGCCGAATCACCAATAAATTACAATCCAGGCATCAACTTTTAAAGGTCCCAACACCTACATACATGAGCTGATGAAGTGCAAAACTGAGATGCCAAGATCCCTGTGATCTAGATGCTAATTTCTTGAAAGCAAGTAACTAAACTTGTAAGCTTTTTTATTTTTATTTTTCTTCTGACAAGTAATAAAAAAAAATGTACTTACAACTCCTACGTGGGTTAGCTTTTAATTCTGTTAGCTTCAGTATTGTTTCACCATATCTGTAATCTTTCCACTAATACATAACCCGTATGTTCCCTGCTACCATAAAAAAGAGGCAAAAAATTATTGACATGAAAAGTTTTTGCTGACATAATAACAATATTGAGTTACAATCTTGCAACCACAATGTTACAACCAAATGGTAAGTGTTTTTCCGCTCTTCATTTAATTACTTATAGACAATATTAATACAGCAAATTTCTCAATTCCACAAAATTTAATCTTTTCAAGAAAAAAAAAAGGAGCAATTGAACCTGTCAATGGAGCAACCAGCAAGATGAAGCCAATCAAGGAACTGAAAAGCCTGAAGCCAAGGTCACTGATACCATTAAGTCCAGGAAACGAAGTCGGTAACAACACTCCAGCACTTCTACGATCACTTCGGTCCCTCCCAGGCAACCGGCCAGCACTGTCACACAACAAGTCCTCACCCACACAAGGAACGGAGCCATCCTCAAATCGTAACCCAAGAAATGATCTATCCCATCAAAACTGAAAATGGGTATAGAAGATTAGTTTATCATTCACAATGGCTAGTAATCTGCTGATTTATCTTGAAATTCCACTAACAAAAGAGTCTACTGCCAGTTCGAGTTTTAGGAGCATAATAGTTCGACAAAAGTAAGTAGCATAGACTATAGCACATCTACTATTAGCCAAAGAGCAGTTAAAGGGATGATACGAAGGAACATGAAGCAAGAAACAATTTATTTTTGGTTGAAATCATTCAACTAACCTATCATCAGCTTTGATAGGAATTAATAACTGCAGACTTGCTCATTGGCAAGATCTTGCAACAACCTATCATCAGCTAACTGCAGAAATTTATTTTTGGTTGAAATCATTCAACTAACCTATCATCAGCTTTGATAGGAATTAATAACTGCAGACTTGCTCATTGGCAAGATCTTGCAACAAATAGACAGTGGTCCACCTTCAAGTATCACCAGTAATCCCCACATGAACAAGAGCCATCTTTGAAATGGTGAAAGCGGTTAATATCTCTAATAATGATCTCCCTAGAGACGATTTTACAAATGAACTTGAATGCTGTATGGCAGTCCAAACAAATCCGAAGGTTCTTCTTCACTCTAATAGGAGCACCAGGAGGTGTAGCAATCAGCCCAAATGCAACAGCTAGTTTCTCGCTGTGATAGGAGAGAAGAATCTCCTTTTGTTTCCTCTCTACATCATGGAGATCAGTATCTACCATAGGAACATAACCAGCTTTAGCCATTAGCTGTCCCAACTCCTCCAGTTTGGCATATATTTCATCACTTCGCGAATGGCTTCTGTCTCCCACTATAAATGTGTAAATACTATCTTTAATTTCAATCCAACTCATACCAGGTTCCTTTTTTACTCTACTGTCCTTCATCAGTCTTCTTACTTTTGCGACATCTCCCCACAACCCAACTGATGCATAAATATTTGCAAGAAGAACATGAGTGCCAGATTTCTCTGGTTGAAGATTAAAAAGCATCTCAGCAGCACGTTGCCCTACCTCTACATTCTTATGAATTCTTGCAGCACCCAGAAGTGCACCCCAGACAGATGCATTAGCTTCAAAAGGCATCTTATTTACGAGATCAATAGCGTCATCTAATTTTCCAGCTCGGCCCAGGACATCAATCATGCATGCATAATGCTCTTGAGTTGGTTCAATCCCAAACGAGTCTTTCATTGTTTCAAAATACTTATTGGCTTCTTCAACTAACCCAGCATGGTTACATGCATAAAGGACACTAACTAATGTTATGTGATTGGGAGATACACCATCTTTCAGCATCTCACCAAATAAATGAAGTGCCTTTTTCGCATATCCATGTTGGGCAAGTCCTCCAATCATTGCAGACCATGAAACAATACCTTTTCTAGGAACCTCACTGAAAGCACAGTTAGCATCCTCTATACTTCCACACTTAGCATACATGTTAACTAGAGAGTTACCAGCAAACACATCTGACATGAACCCAAACTTCAACACATGAGCATGTATTTGTTTCCCCTGTTCATATGCTGATAGATTTGCACATGCATTTAGGAGAGAACTACAAACAAATGAGTCTGGCTTGAGACCCATGCCCTGTAGCTTCAGATATAGTTTCATGGCTTCTTCACCTCGACCAAGTAGAGCATAAGCTGTTATGAGAGAGGTAAAAGATGGCAAATCCGGAGTAGGGCACTCGTCAAAAATTGTAGCTGCATCATCCAGCTGGCTACATTTTCCATAAGAATCAACAAGACTGTTTATGACAAAGGTGTCACACTGAAATCCCGACTTCACAGAAAGTGCATGAACTTGTTTGCAGACATTAGAAGCCTGCAAGCCAGCAGCAGAGTTTAGGACGGCAAGTAAAGTTGTCTGGTCAAATCCAATTCCTTGGGTGAATGTCTGAACAAAAAGGTCTAGACATGCATTGTCTGCCTCATTCTGTGAGTAACCAGAGATCATAGCATTCAACGCGATTAAGTCCTTCCCGGGCATCAGATCATAGATCAACCTCGCGTCCTTGGTTAAATCACACTTGCAATACATATCGATAAGGCCAACACTCACAAAAGGATCCAGTATGATATCTTTCTTTATCAAAAGAGAGTGTAACCCTTGACCCAACCCAGGGAGCTCCAGTGCAGCACAAGCCTTGAGAGCACTCGACAATGTGAACATATTTGGCCAAATTCCTGAACTTCTCATCTGATTCAACATATCTATAGCCTGGTGGTGACATTCATGAAGAACACAACCAGCAATAATAGCATTCCACGAAACAATGTCAGGTACCACAATTTCATCAAAAAATGTAATGGCATCCTTTAGATTTCCCCCTTTAGCATACATGTCAACGAGTGCATTAGACGAGAAAGGATCAGAATCATAGCCAAGCTTCACCAAACACCCATGAATTTTCTTTCCTTGAACAATATCTCCTAACCCAGTACAAGCATTCAGTATGTTGGATAAACTATATTCATCGGGCCTGACTCCACTAACTATCATATCCCCGAACATGCGCATCGCCTCGCTGAAAAAATCATTCTGTGTGTAACAAGAAAACAAAGCATTCCAAGAAACAACATTTCTTTCGGGGATTTCCTCAAACAACAACCTTGAATCTAGAAGCTCGCCACACTTTGCGTACATAACAACCAAAGTATTCGCTACGAAAACATCAGACTCGAATCCTGTGACCACAACAATTCCATGAATCTGCTTACCCAAAAAAAGTTCCTTCTCAATAGAACATGCTTTAAGCACACTAGGAAAAGTGAACTCGTTACATTTAAGATCCAAAGAATGCATTTTGAAGAAAGCCCAGATAGCATCTTTACCAAAACCATTCTTAGCATACCCAGAAATCAAAGATGACCAAGAAACTAAATCTGGTTCAGGACTTTCATCGAGCAGTTTCCATGCATAGTCAAAAGCACCACATTTTGAATACAAATTGATTAAATGGTTCCTATGTTTGCTATCATTTAATAATCCAATTTTGGTTAAATGGGCTTGGATTTGAAGACCTGGGTTCAAAGACTTTGTTTGGGAAAGCTGTGAAAGTAGCTTTGTGTAGGAAAGGCGCCAAAGGTTTGTCATGCTTTGAATCCAAAACAATTTTCCAACTGGGTTAGGGGTAATAAAAGGAGGATCCGGGATAACTTATCGGGTCCTACCATGTTCAGCATCAAAGCCTATGCATTCAAACAAATGTCGTTGTAGTATAGTGGTGAGTATTCCCGCCTGTCACGCGGGTGACCCGGGTTCGATCCCCGGCAACGGCGAATAATGTTTTGCGGAAAAAAAACTCATTCTTAAACGAGGAGGAAGAACTCAGATTATTGAAACCGAGTTCTATATTTTCCCTACCTGGGGTTCTTCAATTTCCTCCTCCACCTCAGCCATTGTTCAACGGTAAATCTTTGTCCGCCATTGTCAAGTTCAGTTGTCGCACTACAAGTTGGATTTCGCGGGCAGGGGTGAAGTAGTAGCAAACTAGCAATATCTGATTCTGAGCTGCTTCGCCTATTCAGGCAACTGTGTTTTCTCCCCTTTCTTTTCCAATTTCAATCCCTAATTCTCTTCCCAATATTGTCAATCTCTGAACAAAAAAATATTTCAAATTTGTTCTCATTTACAAAAGGAATCAATAATCGTGTCGTCAAAAAGTTAGTACTTGATCTGTCCCAATTTATATCCGTTACTTTCCTTTTTAGTATGAGTTACAAAGAGTATGGTATTTTCCCTTTTAGTCCTTCCAAAAAAAATATCATACTTATTTATTTAAAGATAATTTTTTTTAATTTTATTTTACCCTTAGTAAAAAAATATTATAGCTATACAAATTTTTATGATTTATCTTAGACCACAAGTTTCAAAACTATTCTTTTCTTCCTTAAATTTTATGCTGAGCCAAATACAAACACATAAATTATTGGACTATTTTAAAATATAAATGTTAATAGTATTTAGAATTCTTATAGTATGTTTGACAAGCTTCTTTTTGGCCAGTTTGAGTGTCCAATAGGTAATAGGTTCAATTTAAGTCTCTAAATAAAAAATGGTGACAATTTTAAGGGGCTGCGTATGTATTTGGCCATTTAAGAATTATCACATTATTGTGGGATAACTTATATCATTTACAGGTTGATTATTATAAACTAACAGAAATAGTTTTGATCCGTGGCATTATTAGTTGCGATGAAAGCCTCTTCCCAGTGGAAAAAATTTGCAGTAGTACTTGTCACCAAGAATAAACTGCGCGGAATTTTTATTTTTGCAGTTTATACTTTTCTCAGTTGAAAACATTCCATATATTTTGAAACATTAATTTCATGAACTTCTGGAGTAACTTATATTCTTCTTTCATGAAATGTGTTGTATTATTAAATATTCGAATCCTTTTCCATCCCTTAGCTAGATATCTACTTGAGACTCTGATATTCTTTTGTGATAGTATTAGGCTATATATTTCCTGAACGAAGTAATTGATGATTCAATTCATGGATCTTCCAACTACAATTGTTGGGTTTTGTTAAAGCTTGTAATTTTTTTGTTGAAGAAGATAAAATGGGTACGTTAGTTTTTGAAGGACTTGGATGAATCTAACAATTGTAAATTATTGGGAGTAATAGTTAAACATTGGATATCAAATTCAAAGTCATTTGGAGTTGATTTTGCACCGACGTTGAAGCAAAACGTGTTAGTGAAATTTTTACACAGTAAATTATGGTGATCCGTCGGGATTTTATGACCAAATTCAGGTGATCTGTCCGGATTTAGCCACTAATCCTTTGTCACAAGACAAATTTGCCGATCAACTTGAAATCTGACAAGATTTTTGTACAATGCGATCCATCTTGTGATTTCGTCGGACAAGCCATGTTTTGCCCATTAATTTGAAATTCTGATGATTCATTATGATTTTACTACCTAATGTTGGTCCTGAATCTATTTTGCAACTTTTTTTAACGAGGTCAAAGATTAAACGGTGGTCCTGAAAAATCCTAATAGTGTAAATTACCCGAATAAAATATATTGAAAATAAAGAACTGTACCAGAGAAACATATACACACATTCTATAGTAACTGAGATTTGAAGACCGGTACGTTTAGTTAGCATTGTTGAGGTATTGATATTCTGAAGCCAAAAAATGTACCAGAACTCAAAGAAATTTCTTTTCTTTCTCTAAAATATGAAAAGTTAATATCAACAAATCTTAAGATAAGCTAGTCCGACATCTCGTACACAATTTCTAAATATTCAAAGAAAATTAGTTCAAGGTTCCTACAAGAAGAAGAATTGTAACTCGGTTATATATGGAGTTTATAATGGAGGGAACTAGAGAACATTTATCAAAAAGGAAAAAGTAGACCAATTTTGGAATCAAAATTGAGAGTAATAGACAGGTGATTGATAAATAAACACGAAGCATTAACTCAGTCGCACCTACCAGCACATGGAATACGAGGGACTAAAGGCAATCCATCATACAAATATAATGCCTAAGTTGTAGGTGAAGCACAAAGTCAAATGGCGGAAATTCTTACTAATATCCTGTTTGGTCAAGCTGATAAAATTAGTTTATTTTGAAAAAGTGCTTTTTAAAAAATACTTATGATAAAAAGTAGTTTGTAATTGACTAATTACTTTAAAAAATATTTTTTTATGACAATTAATATTTGGCTAAACTTTTAAAAAATGCTTCTAAGTGTATTTTTCTAAATAAAAAAAATATTTTTTGTGAGAAGCTAATTTTTTCTGCCTTTTAAGAACAGCTTCTGCTTCTACTCAAAAGTATTTTTTTTTTCCTTTAAAAGCTTGGCCAAATGCCAAAAGAAAAATAATTGGTCAAAAAAAAATACTTTTGACTAAAAAGAAGCTTGGCCAAACAATAAGCATAAACACTATTGTTAATTGAAAACTATTGTTAATTAAAAGGGTATAGATAGTGTATACGCAGACCTTACCTCTACCCTGGAGTAGAGAGGCTGTTTCCGATAGACCATCGGCTCCCTCCCTCCAAGAACTCCCCACCTTGCTCTTTGGGTGACTCGAACTCATAACATCTTGGTTGGAAATGGAGGGTGATTACCAATAGAGCAATCACTCTTGTCTTAATTAAAAGGGTATGATGTACTTATTTTACGTTTGTTTTAGCTTTTCTCATGGTATTTATCTTAGAAATATTGACGGATTGTTTTGCTTGTGATACTTCCCGTCGATCTCAAAATTATAATAGTGCATATAACCAAGACACTGCTTCTCATTAACATTACTACTATCATTATAATTTTATTTAATTATTTTATATTACTATTATGAAACAAAATAGCACTTTTAAATTATTAACTAATTTAAGTTAATGTGTTTAGTCGCAACTTGTTAAGAAATTGTAGGACTATTATAAAATATAGTGTGTTAGTAATAGTATTTGGAGTTCTTATTATGACGATTCTTTTAAAGCAAACACTTGTTGGTCCCTAAATTACAATAGGAAAATAAGACATCACTAATTTTCAACTTGATTTGTTGATTGCTTCTTTGGTTGATTGATTCTTGAAGACAAGCATACAGACAGTGACACAGATCCATTTCTGCTTTCATTTCCTGCTAGTTTGGTCCTTTAGTATCTCTGATTAGAAAACGGATTCGAAAATTAAGCTCCTAAAATAAAATTAATTAAGTTCAGTAAGGAAAGGTTTTATCCTTTTTTTTTCCTTGCTTTTTTGGTATTTTCACTTTTAGTCGTACTAACAGTAACTAGTCCGCCTTTCACAAGGAAATCTAAACAAAAGAGCTTTGCAAGGAACGTAATAGTTAAAAGGCAAAAGAACCAAAAGAATTGGAAGAGAATACGTAGTGTAAAAGAAAAGTTTAAGGATGGATATATAGGGAATATAATGAATGGCAATAAATGGGAGGAAGATATTCTATACAAAAAGGATATACATGGAGGGAAGGGGAGATGAATAACTTGCCTTGGGCTAGATGGATTTGAAATTCAGTGAATATTCCAAAGCATAGTTTCATAAATCGGTTGGCAATACATAAAAGATTATTGACAAGGGAAAGATTGGGGAAAATTGGAGTGTGCACAGAAACAAGATGTGGAATATGTGGGAGAGGCACAGAAACATTGCAACATTTATTCTTTGAGTGTCATTTCTTAGAAGAATGCTTAAAACTTCTGAAGGAGTGGCTTGGACTGAGGGCAAATGTATTAGGCATTGATGGAACATGGCAAAGGATAACAAGAAGTGTCAAGGGAAAAATGTGCAGAAAATTGATCACAGCAGTGTTGGCAGCATTAGTGTACAAGATATGGCAAGCTAGAAATGATGCAATATGGAATGGTAAAGTACAAAATCCAGTGTTGGTGTGCAAACAGATTCAACAAGAATGTAGAGTTAGACTAAGCATGCATAATATTAGGAAAGAAGGGAGAAGAAGTAGGGAATGGATAGAGAACATATATAACAAAAAGATAGGAAAGGATAGATAGTAGATTTTGCGATTAGAAGGATTTCTTCTAGTTTGTACAGATGTTTGAATGTATTTCTGGTTTGGTTGGAGATTAATAATATTTTCCTTTACACCAAAAAAAAAAAAAAAAAAAAAGAAAAGTTGCAACTTTCAGCCGGAGAAGAAGATGACGCCTCCCAAAAGAAAATCATCAAATATTCCCCAAGAAATAATTTTTGAAGTATTCTCGTGGTTTCCTGTCAAGTCTCTAATAATGCATTTCAAGTGCGTTACTAAATTTAGTAATTCCTTTATCTCAGAATCAGTTTTTGTAGATATACATCCATGCCGCTCTATGATTCGTACGGATGGAATCAAAGTTGTTGTGTGCCAAAATAAACATTTATACACTATAGTCTATACAGCAAAAGAAAAAAGGAAAAACCTCCCGTCTTCATATTGAGAATTTTGAACAACATCTCTTTTACAAGCGTATAATGTGTGCTAATGGTTTGTTTTGATGCTTGACGACATTTGATTTGGAACCTGTTGTAATTTGCAATCCTAGTACAAGGGTAGTAAAATCTCTTCCACGCCTGAAAGAGATTGCTAAAAATTACTTTTAACTCGCGCCAGAAATTATTTATATTCGATAGTCGAAAAGTGCGTAAAATTTATATAATTCTTGTATATAACATACAGAATGTATAAATATACAAAAAATATATTTTTTTGCTCTTATTTTGAAAGCAACTATACAAAAAATATATATGGAGACAATATGGATCTGTGGATTTTAGAGAAGACTCTGAAAAGAAGAATGGGAGAAGCATATCATTCAAATTCCTTCAAATTTTAAATTGCATACACAATATTATTTGATTCCAAAAGAATTTGCAGCTCTTGTGAGGGGGAGATTTTATTCATTTGTTTGTGTTATGATGTCATGAAAAGGAGTTGGAGAGATTTTGAAATCCAAGGGCTTTCAGAAAAGAGTTTGATCCATGTGATTTATTGTTACAATGAAAGCCTCTTCCCAGTGGAAAATTTTTGAAATTTTTTACTGACTTGTGCTCTTTATATTTTTCTCAGTAAGAAACATTCTTCTTTTTAAAAAAATTTATTGTCATGAACTTCTTGAGCAATTTATATGCTTCTCTCATGAGATATGTTGTACGTTAATCACAACCTTAGGAAGGAAAAATTCAATTCAGGAAAATCATCAAAGAATTCCTAAAATTATAAGGAGAATGATCCCTTAGAGTTAAAATTAGCTGGAAAAAAATGATGAAAGTAAAAGGAAGAGGTGATTAATTAACAAACAAAAAAAGCATCAAATTTTGAATGAATAAGTGATAAACAACCAAAACAGGAAAATCAAAAATCTAAATTGGATAATCCTAAGAACCTTTCAATGATTTAACCCTGTACACCAAATTCTTAAATTCCCACACCTACAAAGATACAAATATATCTACAACCCTAACAAATCATTTTTACAAAATAATATAATATAATTTAAATAACCCCTTTATCTTCATGTAATTAATTTAATTCATATCCTCACAAAGAAAATACTCAATTCAGGTTCACTATTTCCGTCTGGGCTCAACATGTATAGGGTTTCCGAATCCTTTGATCCCACTACTCGTTCAAAATGTGCTCTCATGTACGCCATCTCATCGTCCACGTGTCCTTCCAAGTCGGATTTCGCCGGCGGCAACACGCCGGCGCCCATGGACACCGCCTTAAGAACCTCCATGAGATGGAGATCTTCCTCCGTGGCATCTCTCTTTGCACAATAGCCACTTTTTTTCCCATTTACAAACATAGTCCATAATGGCTCATCAAGAAGCTTTGTTTTCTCCTTATGATTATTATTATTATTGTTATTGTTATTATCGGGTCTTTTCTCGCATTCCAACGCAATTCGCACCATCCCGAGGCTCATTTCCTTTTGCAACACGTTGGTCTGCATGGCCAGGTCGATGACCAGATTAGGTAGAGTTCCTGGGTTTTCTTGGATCGAGAGGCTAACACGACCTTTTCTGTATCCGAATAACGTGCCCGTGATGCCGGTTTTGTTTTCAGGTAAACGGCCGCCGGGGAGGGAAGGGAGTTTACATACGGGTGTGATTATAGGGAAGGACCGGAACACATTGCGAAAGGCTCTGAAGATTTTTACGGGTCGTTTTTTATTATTTTTCGAAGAAGGTTTGACTAGGGATAATGGAGTTGTAGGTGGAGTAGGTGGTGGTGGTGGTAATTTTGATTGTGGCTCTACCATTGCTGGTTAATTATTCCACCTTTTATTTAAGGTTGGAGATTTAGAACCAGCAATGGAAGAATTGCCATTACAGAAAGATTATTAGGGTTGTTTGAATCTGCTAGGATTAGGTTTGTATGGAGGATTAAAAATGAGGTTGATGTAATTTGTGTTTTTGAATGGATTTGATGTTTGAAAAGATTTTTTTTTTTTTTGTAAGTTTTGGTTTCTTTGGCTTGAGTTTACCTTCGCGATCCATTGTATTCGGGACCTGAATTTGTGGAGTTGGATAGAATTATGATTACCCATTTTTCTTTGGATAAAAAATGTAGAGATTTTACGTTATCATATTGGCTATGATGAAAATTCAAAAATTGGTTCAAACCAAAAATTATCTGGAATTTACACTCATCTAAAAGGGTGGTGGAATGTGGTATTTACTTTTGGTAGCTCAATTATTGAAATTGCTAATTTTACTCCCAACTAAATATAAATGCCTGTAAAGGAATTTATACAAATCAGACGAACTTCTAACTATTAAGCCACACGTTATACACACTCCGATTTCAATCTTGATGATACATTTCGTTTATCAAGAGTCAAACTGTATAGATTTTGACCAATATTTTTAAATATTTCTTTTATCATATTAACATAAGAAAAATTGTAACTTACATGATTTTCGTATCACTACTAAGAATTTGCTTAAAACCGTCCGAAAAAACCGACTAAATTCGGCCGGTAATGGCCAATAATCGTTCAAAACGCGATCATTTACGTGTGGTCGGTAATTTAAAGGTCGGTAGAGCATACTGACCAAAGTCGGTCGGAAATTATCGACCAACTTCGATCGGTCTGCTCTACACGACCATCTAACAACTTAATTGAATAATCGACCAATATTGGTCGGAATATTATTTTAATAATTTAATTTTACCAATCAATATTGGTCGGTGTGCCAAATTTAATAATTTTGGTTACCGACCAACTTTGATCGGTAAAGAAAAATAAATTAATCATATAATATTTTAATTACCGATCAACGTTGGTCGATACTAGAAAAAATATATATATTTTAAATAATTAAAATTTAACAGTACCGACCAACGTTGGTCGGTAATCTGGACATGGCAGCCAACTTAACGACCAAAGTTGGTCGGTAATGTTGAATTTCTGGGAATTCAATGTGCACTAACCGATCAACATTGGTTAGTATCTTGCAATTTTTTTTAATTACCGACCAAAAGTCGGTCGGTTTTCTGAGAATAATTTTGGCAAAAAATATCTGTTTTGGTAGTTACACCACATGCCAAATAAAAAAAGCATACCAATACCTCTAATTCACATCAAATAACCCCTAATTCACCACAAACAACCCCTAATTCACCAAAATCCAATCAAACATCCAATTAATACTTTAAAACTAACAAGTTCAATTAAACATCACAATTCAAAACCAATCAAAAACCAAGTAATTACGATAAGTTCAAAAATATTCATTCTAATTCAAAACAAGTTTTATTAGTCTAATTCAAAGTATTGGTCAAGGGGTGTTTTCTACAGCATCACCACTATGTGATAAACTTTCATCTACAAAACGGTAAGAATGGTTTTATGGAGGACGGGAAGAACGATCACGTGGAGGACAGGTAGAACGATCACAGGGAGGACGGGAGGAACGATCACGTGGAGGTCGAGCCTCTGTCGATGACTCACGAGACCGGGGCAACGGAAAAGCTCCAGTAGAAAGGAGAGTTCTGATCTGAGCTTGCATACCAAGGAATTGAGCATCTCTAAGCCTTTCACTTTTCTTGGTCTCTTCTAGCTCGGATGTAAGCCTTGTCACTGTCTCATGCATAGTTAAGAGGTTCTCCCTATTAAGTGTCTCGCCCTGTGAGGAAGTCCCTATTCCTTGCATTACACACCTGTGGCGATCGAAGTTTTTCTCGGGAAGCCCATATACCTTCCCCTTTTTTGGACCGCCAACAACCTCCAACCATATTCTTTCAGCATCATCATCCGAAAGTTGGGTTGGCTCGCCCGATTCACCACCTGGCTGACTATGAATGAAGTCCTCCACAGAACTTTGGTAGCGATCCTACGTTATTTTAAATTAAATTAGTATATAAAAATCTTATAAAAGTAAATTATAACACTTAAGGAAAATTAAAAGCTTACGTATGTAGTTTCTGCCCAGTCCTCGACCCACCTATCTGCATTCCCCTCTTTCTTCTTCTTTAAAATATGCGTCTCCTTGAATAACTCATCTTGGTGCATTGGACGCCCATACTTCTTTTCCTGAAAATAAATAAATTTGGTTAATAAATAGAATTGATATACTTAGAAAAGTAAAGACGTAATAATTTAAGCAATTACCAATCTTTTTCTTATTATCCCGATGCTGATAGCACTCTGTATCGACCCGACCGGTCGTTTCGAGCATTTGCACTTTGCTCGGTAGTTTTAGGGCATGAGTAGCTCCGTATGATGTATTATGGCTTATGTGAATCGTCGGTTTTGGTTTTCAGGTTATTCAAAATCGATTTGGAAGAATAAATTTCATGATTTAAGCTTTAAGTTGGAAGAGTTGACCAACTTTAATTTTTATGAATTTAACCCCGGAACGAAGTTTTGAGGGCTTCGTTAGGTCCGGATGGTGATTTTGGACATGGGCGTGCGCCCAGCTTTTCATTTGGATATTTCTATAAGGATTCGGTGCTATTAGCGAAAGTTGGAAATTTGAAGGTTTGGAAAGTTTATAAGTTTGACCGAGAATTGACTTTGTGGATATCGGATTCGGATTGTGGTTCTGGGAATTAGAATAGCTTTATTATGTTATTTGGAACTTGTGTGCAAAATTTGAGTTTATTCCGAGTTGATTTGATATGTTTCGGCGCGCGTTTTGAAAGTTGAAAGTTCAAGAGTTTATTAAGTTCGATTTGAGGTGCAATTGGTCGTTTCGATGTTGTTATGCGTGATTTGAGGCCTCGAGTAGGTCCATGTTATGTTATGGGACTTGTTGGTATATTTGGACGGGTTTCCGAGGGGCTAGGTGAGTTTCCGACGAGGTTCGGATCATTTTGTCGCATATTGAATTCTTACTAAGCTGCTGGTTCTAGTGTTCTGCACCTGTGACTGGTTTTGTGCAGGTGCGATGGCTGCATAAGCGAGCCCATGCGTGCAGAAGCGAGAATGCACTGCTGGGCAGGAGTTCGCAAATGCGGAGGAATTTGTGCAGAAGCATGACCGCAGATGCGGTTCTGAGCGTCGCAGAAGCGGCCACTGGTGGATCCATCAACTATTCTATAGCAGCGTAAAAGAAACTAAGCAAATACACAGAAAATATAAATCATACAGGTGGAAAGACATTAAGCAAGCCGAGACTCAAGAATAAAGTCTATAGAAGATTAAATATTTGAAAATATAAATTTAAAATTCAATACATTGTAGTTTGCTATTCATAATCGCTAGATTATCTTGTGTCTTTCTAGTAAATATGGTGAAAATAATGTAGCTTCAATAGGAGTAGTATAATAGGTTTGAGAATTTGGATTTTGGATTTAATTAATTATTGGTTTGTAACAGTTTTTATAATTTTCAAGGCCCAAGGAAAATTTAATGCATTATTATTTTTAATATTAATATATAAATATATTTTTTCCATGTAAATTTATTTGGTACAGTTCGGTATTTTTTCGATTTATTTTCATAAAATAAAAAATCTACCCTAAGTATCGGTACTGTTATAGATTTATATAAAAACCTACGATTTTATTAAAAGAAACCTAAAAATTATTTCGGTTCGGTACGGTTCGGTCGGTTTAGCTGGTTTTTAAACCTCTATTGCCACCCCTAATCAACGTGTACCCAGTAAGTATCTAGCCTAACCCCGGAGGAGTAGTGACGAGGGGTCGACATCGACACTCACTAGTGGTCCAATAACATCAGGTACAGTAAAGAGGTAAGTAAATATGAGGTAGAGTAAATAAATGAGGTAAACAAGTAATAAATCACGTGGTACAAATCCCCCCTCTTTACGAGGAACTCAAGCCCTCCATTAGAAATTCCCTCCTTAACCGGAGTATATATATAGATATAGTGGATCTCATCAGATAGATCGTCATAACTTAAATCGGGAAAACTCATAGATATACTGGCTTCTTGCCAAATATTACGCACGAATCCATGAGGATATGATATAGAAAATGCCGAGGCGTACGACCCGATCCAACATAAATATTTAAACTGTGCACTGCCGAGGGTCGAATGGCATGAACCATAGATGCATCTATTAAACTGCCGAGGCGAATGGCCCGCTCCCATGAGAGTGTGATACATAAATCCTGCCGAGGCGATCAGCCCGATACCATAAGAGTGAAATACATAATCCTGTCGAGGCGAACGACCCAATCCCATTAGAGTAAGAAGTTTTGACGGGTCCTTGACCTCACTCACGAATAATTTTCTAGGTTTCTTTCAAAATCCTACAATTTCTATCAATTTTCATGCTTGAATCCATGTAAAAACCATGTATTTAATTCACATTGTGAATAAATCACTTACCACATTATAGTTGATGAAGATGGAACTCCAAAAGTGCTCCAAAATCGGCTCCCATGGACGAAATGAAGTGAAAATGAGCCAAACCCCCGATTTAAAGAGAGCACACTGCCCAACGTTCATCGCACCTACGGTGACCTGACCGCTTCTGCGGCTCCGCAGGCGCGGTCCAAATTCTACTCCTGCGGTCCTCACTGCCCAGCCAAGAACTCGCACCTGCGGAAGTCCTTTCGCTTCTGCGGGTATCGCAGGTGCGACATGCTCTCACACATCTACGAACATTTACGCACCAGCGGCAGATGCCTCGCTCATGCGCACTCGCAGGTGCGCTTCTCCAGTCCGCTTCTGCGGCTCCCCCAGCTCCAGTCCATTCTCGCTTTTGCGAGCAATTCGCCGCACCCGTGATCTAGCACCTGCGGCCAAAGTTACGCAGGTGCGATTACACCAGAAGCATTAAGCTTCAGAAATTCTTAAGTCTAAAAATTGATCCGTTAACCTTCTGGAATCCACCCGAGGCCCTCGGGAACTCAACCAATTATTCCAACAAGTCCTAAAACACAATACGGACTTAGTCGAGCCTTCAAATCACGCCAAACAATATTGAAATCATGAATCGCACCCCAATTCAAGCTTAATGAA